ATTGTACCCGCACAAAGTTACAATCCTTAGAAAATCCACGTGAGAATCACATTTGATATCCAACGAGACTCGAAACTACGAAACTCTAGAAATTTCTTTACTCTTGGATGGATTTTAAACTTAATCAAAAAAAAGCGGTAGCCATATCTTTCGATATTTAAAATACTTTTCAAAAAAGCCTTGTAGTACCATCTGTCCATGAAAAACGGACGCTAGATAAGAAGTACAGAAAACTACTATAAGATACGTGAAACGTCCGATAAAGCGGGCGATAAAATAGCTACTGCCAAAATTAGTAGAAAACCTAAGAATAAACAAAAATACAAACTGAAACAAATAAACAGATTGCGAACTGAATTGAGGTAAGCACTACATTATGAAACTCTAGTTGCATTTCTAAATATTTTAGATACCTAAATCTAATATTTAATGAGAACAAAACATAACAGAAGAATTTAAAATCTTTGTTTACTCTAACAGTAGGTAATTCATTTATTTTCTTTTTCAAATATCAAGGACCTAAAGGATGTAACGTGTAATAGAGATAGTAAATCATCACCAAAAATGCAACAGGTATCTACGAAATTATGAACATGTTGCTTACCAATAGTTACGTTTTTGTTTTTTTTTGTAATATTTATGCAATAAAGGTTGGTTACCCACTCCATTTACAAATGCGAAGAGTTTGGTAAAATGTCTATAAGAAGATAAGATCGTAAAAAGGCCGCTCTCTTTATGTCACAATTGTCTTTGGTCAACATGGGATAGAAAAATGCAAAGGAGATGCTTGCCTCGATAAAAATAAAACATTAATTCGTTGCCGTGCCATCACCGACACTGATTCGACAGAAAACTACATCACTGAAGAACTCGCTGAGCGGTTGCAACTTCCGCAAAAACATCTGCATATACCTATAAGAGTTCTTAATGAACTCACTACAATGTCTACATACCGCATGACTACTACAAAATCGTCATGCTGTGGCGGATACCAAAAATTGTTAGGCCGGTGTTCCATGCATCTGAATTCCGACGATACGAAGGTCCGAAAGTGTTCCTATGAATGAATAGAAGCCGAGATATTGCAAAATTTACAGCGTGCACTTATTTGAACTTTGGATTTAACTTTTCTCGCCCACGCGACCGCTTGGACGAGCTTCCCCCACCACCACGCCGCCGGCCGCCGGACAGTTTACTTAGCGAGTACCTTCTTTTCAAAGGGCTCGTGAGTCGTTAATTTTCCACATTATTCAATGCAATTCACGGGAAATCGTAGTTTACGTCGTAAACTTTATTTTGCGAAAAATTCAAGTCTTAATATTTATAAACAATTGCGCTACGATTTAAAAAAAAAAAGAGTACTTTTTTTATTTTAAAACTGTATTTTTTTGCCAGCTATCCATTGCATCTATTTTAGGTGAGATAGCATAAATAGCAACAATGTTATTCAAATTGTTTGTGAGCGAAAAACGCACGGTTTTTTAATGCACAATTTGAGAATGTTAATGTCAAAAAAACGGTGATATTTTTAATAGGCCCCATAATTGCGTCTTTAAGATTACAGAGGCTTAAAGTTCATAACTTTTGGAGCCTCCGCTATAAACAAATAGAATTGTGCGAAAACTATTGCACCTACAGCGCCCACTTTTGGCACACTTTTAAAGTATGACAAAACTCTCAACTTGTTATAGGTTTTATAAAATTTTAACAATAAATGCGATAGTTATAAACAAATGAAAAATTGGTCACTTTTCTTGTTTTTTTGCAATAACTTTTTTGTTTATTAACCGATTTTAATTTAACTAATTTAACTAACTTTAAATGTACGACTGACGGATTCAAAATTTAACAAGCCTGCTCCTATGCAATTGTTAATAGGGGTAGGTACGTCCCTGGCTACTCTGTGCGTTGGACAAATAAAACAGTCAAACTAACAGCAACCCGACCTTATTCTACAAAAAACAAGATGGGGTTGGTAGTTGGCCAGTTCAATACCGGCAAATCAGCAAAATGTCATCTTCTTAATGTCTAGGATGATCTATCTGAATTTTGACAGGTCAAAAAAAATGCATCTACCACGACCATGAAGTAAGAGGCTTGTTCAGCGAAATCCTTCACGTCGTTACATTATCACTTTTCTTTCTTCAGAGAAGATTTCATGCCTACCCGGATTTAAAAATTCAATATACCAAGGTTATCCAAGACTATATTAATCTCGGGTACACGACTATAAAATTGAAGCACGGCATACTAATGGCTTCTTACCTTACCTCCTCAATCAGTCATTAAAGAATCCATTATGACTACAAAGGTGCGTGTAGTGTTTAATGCATCTGCTGCATCAACGACTGGTGTATCGATTCAAGATAATATTATCTCATTCCTTTTGAGATTCACAGAGACTCCATAATTACGTCTTAACAGGCGCAAAAATGTACCTACAAATCCTTGTGGCAATAAAGGATCAAGTAACTATATCTGCGAATACTTTGGATAGAAGAGGATGACTATCAATTTAATTGTCTCTTGTTTGGTATCAAACCTGGATCGTACTTGGCTGCTCGTTGTTTAAAACAGCTCGCTATTGACGAGGAAAATAAATATCCTCGGGCATCAACTGCGCTACATCATGATTTATACGTCGATGATCTCTTAACCGGCGCCGACACCGTGGAAGAAGTTACACTGTTAATAGAAGAGTTAACTACTCTTTTAAATTCAGGAGGATTTAATTTGCGTCAATGCGCCTCCAATACCAGTGAAGTTTTACAGACTATACCGGATCATATCATTAATTTGCAGTTTGCAAAGAGGTGAAGATACGACACTTAAAACTTTAGGAGTTCATTGGAACTCCACTCAGAATGCTATAATCTACTCTGTAAAACCATCTGATGAAACAAAAGTCACCAAAAGAATTATATTTTTTGAAGTGGCTAAAATATTTGACCCCTTGAGATTGCTTAAGCTTGTACTAGTAATAGCTAAGTTACTTATACAAGAATTATAGAAATCAAAGGGTCATTGGAATGAATCCGTAACTGAAGAATTCTATACTCGTTGGAATACCTTCAAAACACAACTACCTGTTCTCAATGATATTTTATTCGATCGAAGGTTATTACATTTAAATCCGAACAAAATAGAATTACATGGTTTCTGTGATGCAAGTGATGAGGCATAAGGAGCCTAAATTTATTTAAAATCAATGGATCACTGCGGAAATGTACATGTCTCTCTGTATTGTACGAAGGCTCGTGTTGTATCTATCCGAAATCCTCAAACTACCCCACAACTGGAGCTTTGTATTGCTGTTCTACTCGTCCATATTTATCACAACGTGACATATATTGGATCCGGACATAGCCAAACTTTTTAAATCATTTGTATCTCGGCGTGTAACTGAAATTCATTCATCTTATACCTAAGCTTAGATTGGATACCTAAGATAGATGATGCTAGTTCTAAATTTTAAAAAATATTGATAACAAAATTAATAAAATAAAAACTTCAGTCATATGTCCTGAAATAGTTAGATTTAATAATACCTGTTTGTTACGTTGTTTTGTATTTGGTCTTTAAAATTTGTTTTTTAAAAAAGTGGAATTTATCTATGAAAACATATTAGGATTTGACAAAATCCTAATATGTTTTGGATATGGATAGTATAACATGGTTGAATTTTCCTGTAATTGTGATATGTAAGTATTGTATATAAAAAAGTTTTATTTTGTAATTTATATTTATTATGTTTAAATTTAACAGTTTTTATGAAAGGTAAAACTTAAGAAATAATTCACTTTTCTTATTTCTAAAATAAGTTACAATGGAAAACTCACATTTATCAATTTTGATCTTAGAAACTAGTTTTAATGAAATGATGAATCTCCGAAATAATTTCGAAAGTGTGAAAACTGAAGATATTAATTTAGCGAAACAATGGGGAATTAACCCTGTTTTCATAACAAACAGTTGCGAAAAATTAAAAAAACATTTTGATGAATTAACGCCAGACTCAATACCAATAGACACAGAAAATAATTTTAAGACAACAGTTTTTTTATTCCAGTTTGGATGCAATAATTGGTCAATTAAAACAAAGATTTCAAGGAATACAGGGCATTTATCAACAATTTCTGCTTATATTTCCGACCACATTGAAGACTGTGAATGATCAAGAATTAGTCAAATTAACCGAGGAGTTAGCGCTTCAGTATCCAGAGGATTTATCGACTTCTTTTGTTCAAGAAATTTTATTGTTTAGACGGGCGTTTTTGCCATACTTAACAACATTTTAGCAACGATTTAGCGAAAACAGCAACTGTAGATTGTGACACATTGTTACCGTCCACTAGTGAAGTATATACATTTTTATTATTTTTAACAATACCTGTGAGTTGCAAGTGCCGAAAGGTCATTTTCAAAACTTAAACTTATAAAAAACTATTTGCGTATAATCTCGATAGAAAATGATATTGCTAGGTCAATTGATGTAAATTAAATAATGACTCACTGCAAATATTAAAGCTAGAAAAGTTTCAATTTAAATAATTTAGAATAAATAAACGTATTTTTTATACTTCATTCCATTTAGATATTATGTATTACGTATGTTGGGTTAAAATGTTTATTTTATTGTTCTGTCTGTTTTTGTTTATAAATAGGTTATATATTTTATTTACAACATTTTTTGGAAGAAAATATAATATTAAAATTAAATTTCAAATGTATCTTTTTTTATTTTTATCATGAAGGGATTGGGGCCCGGTAATGTATACATATATGCACACAGACCCAATATTGGTAAGTTACGCCAATGCACACATACAAGGAAAAACTTTAGGCTATTCTTAATATCTTTGCAATGATAGACCTTAGGACTGCATAGCATAAGACTTTTGCGTTTACTTTGCAATATTCAGTTGCATATTGAACTTATGACGTTTATACCGCGTAGATACCTTGTAATTTAATTATATTTAAAATAAATTTGGTTTTTATTAAAAACATCTCTTTATTTAAATAAATACAAACAATATGTTCAAACCTAAACTACATGAACAATATAGCAACACAAAATAGAATTATTTGCTTGTATATTATTGAAATAATATTCTCAGACTAGGTAAAGTAATTGCTTAAAATATTACCTGTACAAGATATGACGAACAGCATACATATATTACACATAAACATGGAACACATTTTATAATATTTGAGTCACACTGATGAAGAATGATTGTTAGGTACATCAAGATTTTTAACTAAAATGTTTATAGCTCATACATGATAAAATAGATTTAGGTGCAACTGTCTGAACACCCGTTTTGGTTATATAATTAGAAAATTAATTTGAGATTCAGGCAAATATTTAAGAGAGCGGAAAATAAATTATTGAAAAGTATTATTTTCCTAATTATATAACCTTATTATTTAGCTTAAATACATATCGACTGGCTTATATTAATATCTATTAATAAAAAATAAATATTCTTTGTTTTCAGTCGCAACACTTATATACAGATTGAGGATATCGTTTTTTAAAATTCTCTTACAATACTGTTACTAGGTAAAAGATCTACTTTTATTGATAAGACTGTTGTCTAAACATGGCTGATATTTCTTCTAAAGTTTTATTTTTCGTTTCCGGAACTTTCTTGTAGATAAAGATCAAGAATAGAACTTGCAGGACAACGAAAATGAGAAACACGTAAGAACCCATAGCATCCTAAAAAATAAAAGAAAATTATATACGCATACGTATACGTCTACCAAAAGGTGCCATAAATTTAGATTAGGTAGAATAATGATGGCGAAGTAGCTTCTTTGAGATTAGTTCTCTGTCACACTACAGACAATATGAGCCAAGGTATATTGTCTGTGGTCAAACTATGAGATTTTGGAAGTTTTTTGTAAATAATGGTCAATTTTTAATGAATAAAAAATTTGTAAAATTTCATTTTTGAACAAATTTCATATAAGATGAAGAAGATGGCGATGAATTAATTCCTGCCAAAAAAGTGGAATTGAATAATAGTAAATCAAAGTTTTTATAATAAGAATAAAAATTTTAATTTTTATAAATATAAATCCTTATTGCTTTGAATTTTTTTACTGTCCCTATCCCCTTATAATTTTTAAGAGATACATATTCTGCAAAAAAATTAAACATGAGAAATAAATATTTATAGGTATTATTCAGTCATAAGTAGAATTTAATTTATTAAATTAATTAATTAATTATTTAATGTTTAATTTGCGACGGACTAATACCGATAATATATACATTTTATGTCGGTATTGTACTCGTCTCGAGGAGATACCTAAAATCAAAAACAAATCATGAAAATTGATCGAGCGGTTCTCGAGATATAGAGACCGAACCAAATTTGAAACGTTCAAGACAAAAACCTCGCGCCTAACGGGAGCGGCCTTCACGCGCCAGGCGCTCCTCGTGCGTGCAGACTGTTCATTATCTAACGTTAACTTTTATTGCTGCTAGCGCGTTTATTACATGAACTATCAATGCAAAACTTTCTATAATTGACTGTAAAATCCCGGTCCGATATGTACAATAGTTAATTAACAATTAACGTTATCTTGGGAACAAAGAGGTATAGGTGATATCTTTTAAAATAATTAACGTAATAATAATAAGCTCTATTTAATGCAAAAAGAGCGAATTCCCGAGCGGCTTTGGCGTGACCCTGGGACAATTTGTTTATTATGCTGTTTTGCACATCCTACTTTGTTGTAAACGGCAACTTAATTTCAAATTTTTTTAAATTTTCGAATAGGAATATACAGGGTGTTTCTCATAAGAATCGATACGTCAGCAATTATTGGATAGAGTAGACTTCAATTTTTGACGAAGAATAAATTTATGCCTGAGAAAAAACGATCATTTTGGACAATTTCTATAACTTATCAGTGCAAATTGTACGTTATTTCTGTTTAAGATGTTTTTCTATTAAATTATTTTTATTCCAAATTATGTCCTAATCGTCAAGTTTGACGTTTAAATTCATAGCCAGCTTTTGAATTTTCGATGATTTTAAATAACACAGCTACAATATGTGTATCGTGTTTTTGTTGAAAAAACAGTTTTTTTAAAACTAACAAGAGTAAGAAAAGTTTTAGAATTAAATTCCTCATAAAATAAAGTAATAATTTTCCTCCAACGGGATAAAAAATTCTGTCACATTTTAATCAACCCTTTAAAATGCTTCAATTCAACTCTACTTACTGTCGATTAATACTCTTGGTACACTCACATCGTATACCAAATTTGTTTTTTCTAAGTTCAAGTATAACTGAGATATTGATTTTTTTCGAAATTTGAAACCTCACTTTCAAGGCCTATAACTTTCAAGGGATGCTTAGTATAATCGTAAGTTGTGTTAAATCATCATATTTTGGGTTCCCTGCAGGCCCCTGCTATATGACGGTACTTATACGAATCACCCTGTATATCTACGACATTAACTCCTACAATTATCGTTTGGTTAGTAAATAATTAGTTCGAATCGACCTTTGGCACACATGTTGGTCATCGGATTGACCGTCGATCTCTTCCATAAATTTCATCAACATCCATCGCTTTTTGCAATAATAATGCGCAATTTTCGAAAACTGATTTTTTCGCGTTTGACCTATATTTATAGTTAACAAATTGGTGAAATATGACAATAGGTACCTTAAATTGTAGGTAATTTAATTGCCTACAACATAAAATAACTAATTTTCCGATAGGTCGTCTAGATTTTCATGGGCAGTAAAAAAAAGTGGAAACATGTAATTTTGCCACTTATTTGCAATCTGCGTTACCTTTTTCGAAAACATTCTGAAGTGACATAAAATATTTGTGCATTTTTGGAAATAGCTGAAAAAATTATTTACGCATACCTTAAGAGGTAGGAAAGCCAGTCCAACCAAAAAGTTAGCTGTCCAATTTACAAACACGGCTAATGATGCAGCAGTCGGCCTTGCAGCTTGATTAAAGAGTTCGGAAACGAGGAACCACGGAATAGATCCTGGACCAGTGGCAAACATAATTACATAAACCAAGACGAGGATGACGCAGATGACGCTGACTGCTAGGTTACCAGTCTGAAAGTAGGAAAATATTATAGACTGATATTTAATTCTTTAAAACATTGTTTTTTCATCTATCAAATAAAATAATAAACTTACCGCAAATATCATACAAATTGTAAGAAGGGCTGTATCTATAGCCATGCCGCCAAAGCCGATAAGTAAGAGAGTTTTTCTGCCAGCCTTTTCCACTAAGAACAGTGAAACAATCGTCATCAGGACATTGATTCCACCCATTGCCAAAGTAGCATATGAGGACTGATCTCCAGATAATCCAGACATTTCGAATATTGACTTAGAGAAGAACATTACCTAAAAAGAATTGGTTTGTTTATAAAAAAATCAGTTTTGTATTGCTGATATAATAATATCATTTAAATTTTTCTAGAAGAACAAAGTTGATATCAAGATTATTTATTTCTTTCTATAACTATGATACTAATACTGTAACGATAAACAACGAATTATTATCTCTAACCAAGAAGGTCCATATAATTGAGAACAGTAATTAAATTGTGAAAGAACCAAACTCTCACACAACATCTTTTTGGTGGCAACATTTAAATATCCTCTATGGGGATACAAACATCTTAAAGCTCCATATGCCCTCTGTATATATTTAGAAACTTGACGGTACCTAAGAGTGCTGTCTAAAATAACACCTAAATTTTTAGCCGTTTCTGAAGCTGTTATTTGTTGCCCACCTATTTCTAGATTAAAAGTATCCCTAAGTGTGTTTCTCATATTTCTATTACCAAAAATTAGCATAGCAGATTTTGTAGGATTCAGCAACAGATTGTGCTGCTCCGATATTGTACATAAAATCTTTAGATCCTCGTTTAGACGATTTTTGGCTAATTCGTAATCATTTTTAGGAAAAGAATAATAAATTTGTGTGTCATCTGCATACATGTGAATTTTAGAATATTTTAAAAAAATAGGAAAAGAAGCTGTATACAAACTGAATAATAAGGGTCCCAGAATGGACCCCTGTGGTACCCCACAGTGCAGTTGTCTTCGCTGAGAAACAGCACTTCCTAGCTTAACAACCTGACTACGTCCAGTTAAATAGCTTTCGAACAGTTGCAGACTTCCATCGTCTAGTCCAATTGACTTCAGCAAGACCAACAACACTGCATGATTAACCGTGTCAAAGGCCTTGCTGAAGTCAAAAAGCACCAATACCGTCATCAAATCTACATCTGTGGCTCTAATTATGTCATCTGTAATATTCAGTAGCGCTGTGGTACAGCTAAACCCTGGGCGAAAACCCGATTGCTCAAAAGGCAAAATATCATTAATATCAATGAAGCTACGAAGTTGTTTCTCCATGACTTTTTCGACTATTTTTGACAAGCAAGACAATATACTTATAGGTCTAAGATCCTTCCATTCACTAGGATTATTTACTTTTGGTAAGGGTATGACCAACGCCTCTTTCCATAAAGAGGGAAATTGCGATTCTAGAAATACAGAGTTAACAATATTAACAATAACCGGCAAAATATAGGGACAACATATTTTAATAAAATTTATACCAAAACCATCACCACCAACTGCATTAGACCTAATCTGACCGATAATTGAACGTATGTCAGTTTCATTGACAAGCTTAAAAGAAAATCTAGGATGAGTCCTCACTTTACTTAAATAGTAATTAACTATATCATTGTCAGTAAGCTGCATGTTAGGTATACTATCAATAAAATAATTATTAATACTATCTGCATTATTGAGATGAGATGGAAGAGAAGCACTTTTTTGATGTTTGACGTTTAACAACTTCAATTTTTTCCATAAATCCTTAGTAGAATAATTATTAGATATATGATCAAAATATGCTTTCTTTTCATTGGTGACAGAATGATTTGTGTAATTACGTAGGTCTTTATAATAATCCCAATCAGTCGGTAGTTTGGTTCTTTTAAATTTAGCCTTAGCTTTGTCCCGTAAATTCATGAGTAACTTTATATTATCAGTTAGCCATGGACAACACTTTCTTGTGATGCGGACCGTTCTTAATGGGAAATGCTTGTCATATAGCATTAGCAATTTTTTATTTAGATAGTTTACTTTATCATTAATATGGCTGATGTGAAATATATTTTCTAAAGTTAAATTAGTTAAATCATTATTAAAAGCAATTTCGTTATAATTATTCCAACTTCTAAACGTATACAAAAATGGTTCAATTTTAGAGGGAGCCAAGTTAACAAGAAAACTAATCATATCATGGTTCGACAAGTTTAACCCACCTACATCAGCAATAGTACATTTAATGTCCGAGGTCAGAATTATATCTATAAGGGAAGCAGAAGTATTAGTTACATGAGTCGCCTGACTTACAATTTGGTGAACATCTAGAGATTCAATCATAGTATTGAGGTAAACAGTGGATGGTTCATCAATTTTGAACAAGTCAATATTGATATCACCCAGACAATAAATGTCCTCAACAGTTTGCATGCATAATGAAATGGATACCTCAAGAGCATCAACAAAAAATTTATATTTCATCTTTGGAGGTCTGTAAAATACGCCAAAAGCATAACATTTGCCATTAAGTTTGACAGAGATCCAAAGTTGTTCAATACTAAGATTTGTTTCAATAATTTCAAAGTTAATATTATTTCGTAAATAAAAAGCCACACCTCCGCCTCTGGATTGCCTATCAGTTCTAACCAGCTTATATCCATCAATCTCCAATAAATAGGTTAGAATTTAACCTAGTTTCCGTTAAGCAAAAAACATCAATACTTGAGTTTAAGAGATATTCTTTGAACGCAAAGAATTTGGGAAGCAAAGAACAAATATTCAAATGCGAAATTAACATGTATTATAATATTACTATTCCTAAGGTAAATATCGTATCTAAATATAATTTGAAAGAAATATTAGTTTTTTGTAAGATGAACAGAAATAAAGGCAGTAAATAAAAATAAAAAACAAAAAAAAAATGTAATATATAAGAAAAGTTCGACTGTCGAACCAAGAAGAAGGTAGAAAAGGTGCTGCCATATCAGTAGCTATTAATTTATTAATCCATATCACTCAGAGACATAACTTTTTTGATCAAATTGCCAGTTTTTACCTTAACTGATCCGTTATATGTCCACACATTTTTGTGACCATATTTAGCAATTGCCTCCTTCAATATTGTGACTCTGCTGGAAGTTAGATCTTCTCTAATTGAAACACTTGTTCCTTTCAAGTTTTTCTTCTTCGAATATATATTTGATTTCGTCTCTCACCCCTGGATTCAGGTACACCATAGATACGTAGATTGTTAGTTTTAGCATTAAATTCAACTTTATCCTGGAGTTTTTCAATTTGTAGCTTCGCATCAGACAAGTCATCCTTTAAAGATTTCACCTCTTGGTTATAACCTTGGATAATGCCTTCGAACTCACGCCGCACAGATTTGCTGACAGCTTCACATAATTTACTCAAAAAAGACTCGGATGATAGTAATTGCTCAACCGCTCTTTGTATAAGAAGATCTTCCTTATCACAATCCACTTTGCTTCTTGTAGCACGTTCTTTCGACATTTTTCTGGTGATATAGTAAAACTAAGCTGGCACACACCAAAACACGTCTATTCTCTACCAGACATTCACTATATATGTTTTTTTTTTATATTTGGCCTTGTTTCTAAGATATTCAATGAAATTCCTACGTCAATGCCCTCTACCTACGAAACGGTGCTATTTAGGAAATAAGTTTATATCATGAATGAACATTATTTTAACATGTTCTATCGATTCCTGAAGTTATCCAGATTAAACCTGAATCACCCTGTATAGAGGACTGGTTTCATTTTATTTTTTAAGTAATATTAAAATACGATATATTGCATAATTATCAAAATGCACAAAAAAACTAAAAAACATAAATTTATGTATGTGAGTAAATATATGGAAAAAAAACAATAATGTTAAATATTGAGAATAAGATCCCCACATACGAGTAAGCATTTGATAATGCATACACGTATAATCTACCAAAGATCTAGTATTTATTTGAAATAACCTTTGTCATTTAGAACTTGAGAAATATCCTTGTTAGGGCTCAAAAAATAATTCTCTTTTAATCTTTTATGTCTGAAATACTTTGAAACCTTGAAACCTTAGAGCTTAGAGCATATACTATTGGAGGCAGCGTCTCAGTGGCCGACAGCGGAGGTTTAGAGAGAGAGAGGTTTTTGAGGGTATATGCTATCTCTCTCTAGCAGCACGCGATTGTATGTTGTTAGAGAGAGATAGCATATACACTCTACACCCCTCTCTCTAAACCTCCGCTACAATCTCAGTACAATACCAGTAGTATATATGCTCTAAGGTAGTTATAAATTCCTTTTGTTTTCAATTTCAGTTTCGATTCGATTACTGATCATTTGGATTTTCACTTATTAAATCATCATCAGTGAGAATGTTCTTAACACATTAAGCGCCATGGTGTCTGTTCGTTATTTTAATCACTGGGCCAGCGCAGACATCGGTGTCTGTTTCAGTATTTGTCCAAATGTGCCGAACAGACACTTTCAATCTACAATTCCTGTGGTGGAGTGTCTGCTCTGGCCCATCCGCAAATATCCCTATACGTGGGCAGGCCTAAGCGCGTTGTGTACACATACTTCTATACATATACAAAGCATTTTGAAAGGGAATTGAAGCCAAAAAGTGGGGGTGTTGCACTTTGTGTATTATACGCAAGCGCTATAATTCATTTTCCCATTGGTCGGTTTGTCGGTTAACGTCATTGTCATTTCCGAAGATAGGTTATGAATTTGAATAGAAAGGCAGCTGAAAATGATTTGGCAAACAAAAAAAAAGGAAAGGAAACGAGGCAGACCCATAAAAAACATGGGATCAAGGACTAAGTAGTGGCAGAAGACTTAAAGAAAAGAGGAACAAACTGGCATGAAGCAGATGAATCTAGCAAAAAATAAAAAAGAAGACAAAATTCGTTTATAAGTAAAAATGTATATCTTTACACCCTATGGATACTTAAGGTTTTATTGATTGAGGATTTTTATTAATTTAGGGTAAATTTTACGTGTCCAATCAGTAGCTAGAAATTCCACATTTTGCTAATGCATGAGACTTCGTGTTTCATGGTGAACTCTTACTGTTATATATTAAAAGGAGACTAGTAGTTTCCCTTTATATATTTTTTGTAAATATCACAAGAAATTATTTTTATAACCTGTGAAGTTACAAAGCCCGCTGTATATGATACCACATCTTCTACATACGGCGAAAGGTCAAACATGGTTTTTACGTGATCATGTTCAAATAAAGAAACGACAATTAATGTACCTACTTGTGTTTGGATCACAAACTGGATTAGCTATTTTATTTGAAAAATAATACCTAGGGACAATTTATATCTAAAACCGGCACTGCTTCAATGTGTTCTAAGATCTTGACTAGGTTTGCATTGTATATTTAATAAAATAAGACTTGATATTTAGCATATATTAGAAAATCAAATTGAATCTGGTACAGTGAATCACGAAACACAGGTTAATATGATTGATATGATTTATTTTTATTATTATTTATATATGTTAGTTAAGGTAGGTAACTCGTTATTATTTTTATGTATATTTGTACATAATGCGTATTTTTATATGAATTTTTGTGAAGATGTATGGATTTTAAATTTCAAAAAATGTTTACTATTTTATATAAATAACACACTTGTACTCTCTTTTGAATTCCATTTTATTGTACCCATTTTATTTTGCATTTACTATCTAACATTATCATAAATTACATTAACAAGTTGTATAATTAGATATATAAAATAATAATTGGTAATTTTGCTCTGTTAATAGTACATCAGTTATTAAATTTCATTTGAAATAATCCGCTAAATTTTCGGGCTTGCGCAAAATTGACAAAGTGCAACATGTACACTTTTTATCCCCTCTTTTTGGGAACAAGGTCATTCAATGTAAAAGATATGCAGTGCTTGGTANATATTTACTATTTTATATAGATAACACACTTGTACTCTCTTTTGAATTCCATTTTATTGTACCCATTTTATTTTACATTTACTACCTAACATTCTCATAAATTACAATTAACAAGTTGTATAATTAGATATATAAAATAATAATTGGTAAGTTTGCTCTGTTAATAGTACATCAGTTATTAAATTTCATTTGAAATAATCCGCTAAATTTTCGGGCTTGCGCAAAATTGACAAAGTGCAACATGTACACTTTTTATCTCCTCTTTTTGGGAACAAGGTCATTCAATGTAAAAGATATGCAGTGCTTGGTATATGTATAGAAGTATGTGGTTGTGTATTGATTTTATGACGTGTCTGCTTTTGTGTCTGCTTTGGCCCACTGATGATTTGCTTTTTTGGGGTTCTATGACAGGGCCATAGCAGACACGGTGATGTAATTACCAAAATAAACATATATTCAAACAAAATCGTGGAAAGAAACTCAACGTATGTTGTTGATCTTCCATTTAGAAATGACAAAAATAAAAATGGTAAAATAAAAAAAACAAATTAAATAATATTTACTTATACCAATATTATAAGGTAATATTATGTGCTTCATTGAAGCAATCCAAACAGAACCTGGGCTGCGTTGTTCCCTAGCTAATTGTACGTTTCGATCTGCTACTCATTATGGCGCTTTTTGCACTGCAACTGCACTCGTTTCTACCGCGCCACTATAATATACCCTGCTAGAAAATGCAGGTTCGGACGTGTCTGCTAACAATTATGTCTCTGTTTTGGCCCCGTTTTAGATTATGTGTCTGCAAAACGTGTCTGCTTTGGCCTAGCAAGGCAAAATTTAATCAGGGCCAGTGCAGACACCGGTGCCTGTTTTATATTTTTGAAAATTTTGTAGCAGAGGGACTTAATTTGTAAAAATTATTGATAGATAAAGGCTTAGTTTGAAAGGCACCATAAGGATATAGTAATAACCTAGTGATGAATATATCAAAATTTTCTTTGGCGCTTAACGTGTTCAATCTAAATTAATGGTATTAAAATTTGGCAACAGAAATAAGACACCTTTTTTCTCTCTTCAATTCGCTATCAAAGTTTTGTAAACGTGACGACACAATATTCAGTCATCCATTCTTTTTTATTGGAGGTTTGTCCACATACGCTCCCTTAAAGTATGTGGGCTTCTTACTTTTACCAATAATCAACAGCTCTTTTTTTATTTCCTTCCATGTTTGAGCACAAAAGTGTCATGAGTCTTTCTTAAGCAGACTTGTCTCCTGCACACCATTATTTTTAAATGCAAATGTTTTTGTATGAAGTGCACATAAAAAAGCGTTTAGTTGGCCACTGGAAGCTTTGAAGTCAGTAAATTGCAAATTTTCAGCTGCTTCCAATACCTTTTTTAATAAATGTGCAGATATGGGACTATTATTATCTCGTACCTTACAGAACCAATTAAAATCTGTTTCAACAACGGCCAAACCAGCAGTTTTTGTAAATTTTCTTTTTTTTCCAGGTTTCCTTTCTTCTTTTGAATTTCAGATTTATTTTTCAATATTCAGTGTTTTTCCGAGAATAAACTTTTCCGCGGGATTACGAATATTTAAAGTATATTGTTCACTAGCCGCAATAATATTAATTTTATCTTGAACAGATAAACACCTTCTTTTCCCATGTTGAGACCATAAAATGCGAATACAAATAAGACAAAATATATACAGGATGTCCCAAACTCGATGCCCCAATGATATTACAGGGTAACTAAAAATATTACTGAAAATTTGAAGTATAGTATTCAAGCGGCATGGATTGAAGTGCATTTTGCACCAAAAATTAAAGTTTTAAATATTTCGAAAATTGTGTTGATGACGTTATGAAATATCTTTTTCCAGGAAGAGGTATTTTTCCATTTTTAAAAAGAACATATTTTTCCGATAAACTTTCATTTCTCTATCAAATTTCATTAAAAAGATGATCAGAAGTAAAAACAATAATTAGAACGTCAAAGTTACATGTCATAACTTGATCGGACATTCTCTTGAATACAATTGATCGAATTACATTATTGTAATGTTTACTTGTCATCAAAGTATTGTTTAGCACTTCCAAGTGTTTACAGACAGGGTAGTTAGCAGTTTTCAGTGTTTTTTTTTTTTCGATTATTTGTAACAATGCTATCACACGCAGAAAAAGTTATATGTTATTAATTTATGGAGATTCCCAGAAAAATTCTAGAAGCGCTGTTCAGTTGTAAGGAAAAGATTTCCTCAACGTCACGTTCCTGACCACAAAATGTTTGTAAGGCTAGAAAGTAACCTACGACAAAATGAAAATAAATTTTCGATTCGAAAGGGAAAATCAATAAGAAAAAGGGTTCAAGATGACTATACTACTGCGCAAGTGGTACAATATTCTGAGAATCATCATGAAAATTGAGTTTCCTTGCACAAATCACGGTAGCTGCTGAAATTTCTGACTTCATCGTAATCTTTGGACGGACGAAAGCCGTTTTGTAAGTAATGATTTACCAATTAAAAAAAAAATAACATTATTGGTCCATTGAGAATCCACACTTTGTTCATTCTATACAAAATCAAGGACATTGGTGTGAATGTGTGGTGTTGTCTCATTGGATGTCATCTGATAGGACCATACTTTTATGAAGATGTGTTGAATAGTATACAATACCTGCGTTTCTTGCGAGAAGAACTCCCAACACTTCTCGAAAACATCCCTTTGTAGTTGCGAAGGAGTTTGTGGTTCCAGCACGATGGAGCCCTACCCCATAGAGAGATTTATTGTGCAAGATTATTTAATTACTGTTTTGGGGAACAATGGATTGAAATAAATGGACCTATAAAATGGACCGGAAAATCTCCCGACATGACTCCTTTGGACTTTTTCTTATGGGGTTTCCTTAAGAAAAAAGTCTATAAAAGTATGTCACGTAATATAGAACATTTAAAAGAAAAAATTTGAAATGCCAGTAAAGAACTTACTCCTAATATGCTGAGGAACGCAGTTATAAAAGAAGTTAGGCATCGGTTAGATTTATGTTTAGCCACAGGGGGTGCACATATAGAAAATATGTTATAATAATTTTGGTTATATATGTAAAATACTTCTTGTTCCTGGAAAAAAATATTTCATGATGTCATCAACACAATTTTCGAAATATCTGAAACTTTAATTTTTGATGCAAAATGCACTTCAATTCATGCCGCTTGAACTTCATACTTCAAATTTTCAGTAACATTTTTTGTTACCCTGTAATATCATTGGGGCGTCGAGTTTGGGACACCCTGTAGCAATACATCTAGCGTCTAATTTCTCTTAGCACAACTAATTTTAAATTGACAGTGTATTGCCAGGAATTAATTAACCCAGTGACGTTTCATCTGTTCGCTATCAACAGATAATTTTACATAATTTTCGTGTCTTGGTGAAAAATCAGGTCTGTTTATTAGAGAGTCTGTTATTAAGAAAACCTTATTGTAAAAATTAATAAAATTTCACTTATCTAGTGATTTATAAAAGTAAACTAAAGTCATGCCTCAAGACTTTTTGTGGGTCAACCAAGATTTTACCTTTTACTCTTTTAAAATCCCTATGAACTATGAGAGACATACCAATCTGACTGTATAGGAAGGAAAAATACTTACTGCATTAATTCCAGATAGTTGCTGAGCACACATAACAGTCAAAGATATAATCAATGGAATCCTGAGGGCGCTGTTGGTGAGTAACTCACGCATTGTTACTTTTGGAACCAGTTTCATAGCCTCAGATTCAGCTTTGATCATGTCCATTTCTTCGTGAACTGACAATGTACCTCTCAACCATGACAGAGCTTTCTGGGCTTCCAGCTCTTTACCTCTAGATGACAGCAAGTATTTTGGAGATTCGGGACAGAATGGCAAGGTTACTATCTAAAAATAAAAATTATGAAATTATGCTGTAATATTTCACTTAGAAAATATGTAGAAGAATCTAAAAAAACTATTCACCTGGAAGATTGCAGGGACGATAGTTATCGCTAGAAGCGTCGGCCACAATTTTTCCGTTCCTAGAATAGACCCCAGACCAAGAATTTGTGAAATGAGAATGGAAATGGTTATAACCAATTGATATACCGTTCCTACAGCTCCTCTGAGATTTATTGGAGATATTTCTGCTAAATACATGGGCGCTAAACCAGCATTTAATCCAGAATTAATACCAATTATAAATCTGCCTAATATAAGAAGCTCATACGAGGAAGCCGATTTAGCTGCTCCCAGACAGACTGTAGCTATTATGACGAAAATATTGTTGAGGAGAAGTCCGCCTTTACGGCCAAACCTATCTGCTATGAGACCTAAAAAATATGTGAAATCTGTAAGCTCAATACATTTTATGTTTTATATGTACAGGATGGACAAAGCTCTAAACTTTCACACAAAGTTGAGATGTTATTGATTCGGTTTTAGAGCAAAATAAAACTTTTTATTTAGATAAATTTTATAATTTTGTAAAGGTTAGGTACTCGATTCAGCTTTTTTTATATGTAACACCCTATACTTAAATAGGTATATTTTTCGATTTTTGAAATCTGTTGAAATTTCTCCCTACGACAATACGTGATATTTATACGTGATGTAAGAAAAAAATCATAAATTAGTTATTTTATATTTACCTGTAATAGCTCCTCCAATCATGCCTCCAACGCAAAATATTGATACCATGATAGAAAAAATCAAAGTGACAGTTTCTTGTTCTGGTTGTATACCCGTCCTATTCGTTTGCGTATTGAAGATCCAATTCTTGATAATCTAGACAATAGCAATAAATTTATGAGAACTTATGTTTTAATTACGCAAATAAATAATTGTATATTTCATTAATCATAAAAAATAATTTGATATATACTAATGAAATTTAATGTCTACTATATTTAGCTCTAATGGTTTTCAAGTGGATTTAATGGTAGTGTTTTTTTTGGATGAGATAATAAAATACTAGGAAATGCTGATATAAAAATTATTGATGCAATTCAAGCCCATAGATACTTTCAAAATTAATGGTTTCACTAAAACTTAATAGAAACATAGTAGACAATAAGTTTCTTAATTCAGATGTAACAGATTAGGAAATCTTATTTAAATGTTATTCACGTAATTTGTAAAATCAGTAGATAATATTAGTTATTTAGTAATAGTAGTATTTATCACTTTCAAGTATGTAAAGTAAATATACCTTCATCATTATTTGTTTTTAATATACCGAATTTTTTGTTTGCTACTTTTTAACATTGCTAGTGTAGGTACTGTACTAATCGCAAACACTTTATTATTTTGCTTCTCGATACACATATTCAATTTTTTATATTCAACACATCTATATTTTCCATAATTCGTACTTTTTGTACTAATAAAGCATAATCGATTGGCAAAAACCACTTAATATGTTTCTATGTTGTTATTTTCTATTTGTAAAGAAATATTTTATCTACGACTATTTAATAATAGACGCATTATAATTGTGATAGTAAGTACATAATGTAACTCATATTACACACCCGTGGAATATGAGTTTCATATTCCACAGGTGTGGAATATGAATTTTTATACGTATCCCTTATAGCTTCTGACCGCGCTACAAAATAGAATCGAGCTTGCTTGAATTATTGTTACTATGGTAACTAATGTAATTGATTTGACAACACTTCGCAAAATAAAACATTTTTGACTTTTGCAGTAATTTTGCAGGTTAATTCTGACAGTGAAAATGAAATTCGATGCACCCCTCCTGAAATTCGTGAAGCCGCTAAATTAGCATCATTGGAATTACTTCCAGAGAAATCACGAAAAAATTACACAATTGTATATAACAGCTTTATGGACTGGCGACTAAAAATTGGCACAAATTCGTTTTCCGAAGACACTTTGTTAGTATATTTCAAGGAATTGACAAAAAAATGTAAATCGTCTACATTGTGGAGCCATTATTCCATGCTTAAGAGCACACTTAACCTTAAACATAATATGAATCTTACGCAAAAGTTCGAGTTTATTAAAAAGGCAGTCAGAAGGCTACCAACCCAAGAAATCAAAGGCATTTACTGGAGATGAAATATACAAATTTATAACTGAAACACCGGATACTAAGTCGTAGATAAAGTATAGTATTTGCCTCGCGTATAATGGCTATATTACACTCGCCTACGGCTCGTGTAATATAGCCTACATTATACGCTCGTTAAATAATATACTATTATTTTTGCATAGAATCCAGTGGTTAAGTACTTTTCTGTAACTTCCCGTTATTTTATTTGTAACAAACAAGTTGAGATAAAGCTTAACTTTAACGAAGTTGCACAACCTCAAAATTACTTTTAAATAAATATTCTGTCGATAGCCGCAAGGTTTAAGGCGTCAGTCCTTAAATCGTGTGCAAATTTCTGCCCGGGTTCGATTTCCGCAGCCGGTAGACCGTAGATTAGCTATGCTTGGACGGCACCCTCGGTGCAGGTATGGTAGGGTGGAAGAATTTTGGCTTGGGTCAACGTGAGAGATTGACACCGGTTGGCATTTGACCACCCCCCTAATTAATGAGGTTTTCCAGGTTTCCCTCATTCCTGCACTGAATGGTGGTTAGGGCCTACCAACATAAGTCGTTCCTGGGCGCAAATGCGGCCTGCTTAATAATAATATGCCGCCTCCTCTCCCGCACAAGTCTCCGA